CTGTATATCTTTTTCCAATAAATAATAAATTTATTTGGTGATGCATAATAAAATATTCTAATATTTTTTAATGTGATTCTTAAATAAAAAACGTGATTAATTTGTGGTAAGTATTTTTAAGCGTTTACTTATATTGATGCATGTTGTTTTTTATAGCATCAGTTCTCACTGTATTTTATTATACTATACACAATATATTACACACAAAATTCATGTATGTTATAAATAATTTATATTACATAAATAGTTGAAACAATGTTTTTTTTTTAAACTAAACTATATCCTAAGAAAAAATGAAATTTAACGCAAAGGTAGCAGCTATAATTGGTGGCATATAATATTGATAAAAAGGTGGATGAGGGGCTGCTCCCATTAAAAGTATAACCCAACCTAAGAAACATAATATACTGGACATTATTTGGGATCGAGATTTAACATTATTAGAAGGAAGTTGCACCCATCCCATTGTATTGCATGTTATTAAAACTATCCAACTAAGACGTAGTAATGGGTCTTCTGTAGAAAGTTTCATATCATAACTAAAACAAATTTATGGAAATATAAACTCAGCAATTTAATACTTATATTTGTTAGCATCAAAATAATTACAAACCTGAAGTTCCTTGCCCAAACAAGTACAGATGGTACAGCTGGAATGGCAATAAAACACCAAAGTATGAAAAGAATAAGTTGATTGAATATTTTTTGTCTTGTATTTTCATGTTCTTCTGCATTGTTCTTCATGTTTCTGAATCGTCCTACCCAATTAAAATGTTGCAACGAAGCCATTAATAATTCTTCTAAATAATCCTCATACATTCTTGTCAAATTTAAAAAGTATAGAAAAATTGAAATTAACATAGCTAAAGCTCCACAAGTTACATGAATTAAAGATACGACAAGAATTGCAGTAATAAATGGTAATTGGTTTAATCCCCCAAGCAACCAATCTGACCATGTTGTTGAAAAAGTTATTGCTCGTGCTAAAAACCTAGAAAAATTAATAAATTTACTTATATCAAATTTTATGCAATATAAACATACATATTAATATATTTAAAGGTTCTTACCTAACAGCAATACTATGGGCCACTGAACCAAGGAATATAATGGAACAACATAGTCCAATCACGAATACACAAAGAATTGCTAAAGCAACTAAACATTCGAACATTAAATCATAACAAAATGAGAGAAACATCGTAATTACTATTATTGGTGTTTGTTCAAGGCCATTATTAATTCTTACAGATAAAAACAACAAAAGTAAACTAATAATTGTTGTATACAGAAGACACCAGCGATCCCGTACAATACAAGATATCCTATCTATAATACCACCTTGCTGAATATTAATTGCATAAGAACATGCAGGATCCAGAGTTATTCTTAAATTTTGAGAAACATTAGAATATTTATACTTTGTCTGAATTTTCATCGTTTTCGGTCCGTTATCCCTAAGATATTAACACTTTCCTTTACAATGTAATTTATGAACTAGAGAAAACTTATTTTGATTCAGATATACTTACACAATTGTGAAAAACTGAATTTGTGTAACTCCAATACTCCATGGTTCTAGTAATTCAACTATTGCATTATGTTTTGGATCTGTGCATTCAGATGCCTTAAGTTCAACTGTTACAACGTCCATAATGCTATCAAAAGTAGCATAATATCTGATATGCCCAAGATTAGATATTTTGATTTGAGGTTTTATGAATAAACTTTTCAACAAAGGTAAACTACCCCAAGTAGGTACAAGCCTTGCTTCATAAGAATACAAATCAACGTTTACTGCAACATATTTCTCTAAATCATCTGGTGTAATTCTTATTACAATATGTGTTACACCAGGATATTTTATTTCTTGAAGATTTAAATCAACAGTTTTTCTTAAACGATGTAAAGGATCTGGTAAAATTCTTGTTCTGTTTGTCAGGTTCCATCCCCAATTACTAAATAATAGTAAAAGATATTTATGATCATGCTTTGATTTGTCTTTAATGTAAAAACAAAATACAAAGAAAAATGACAAAATACAATATTACCAAACTCTTGATTGTCCTTCTATTCTAGATGCTGTACATGTAAATAGCCAATCTTTAGATTCTAGATTTACAGTATCAATAGTTAGATAATTTGGTTGGCCATTTAATCTAATCATAAGGTAAATAGAGGATGTTCTTTTAGATAAGTTTTTGTTAGTCCATACATAATGTTTTTGAATATTCTCTATCCATTCACCACCAGGTTCGAATTGTACTGTTTCTTTATAAAAATGTAATCTTTTTCCTGAAGCATGCTGTAAAATAAACTTTTGTATGAATATTTCTTCACATAAAAATTAAAGTAAAGAATTACCTTACCTGATAAAAATGATAAGATAAGGCCTGCATTCTTTCTTCTGTTTTGGAGAAAATGTTAGGTGGTTTTTGATTATAATTGACAGAATCAAATAATGAACGTACAATACAGAGTACTAATTGTTTACACCATAGAATACTTAAATGATCTGTGGATTTCCAAACATCTGGTATAGTATTAGAAATAACATTAATGTCAGCTGCAGAGTCTATAATTTGTGTTGGAGTTATAAGTGTATCTCGAGGTCCTCCTCCTATTGATACTACACTTACTCCTGCATCTTTTATTTCATTTAAATGATTTTCTAAATTGCGGTAATAAGTGGCAACAGCACTATCTAACACTAAAGTTGGAGTATGAGGAGTAGCTAAAGTAATAATAATATTTGCAACACTAGTATTTACATTTGATGTTAATAGAATAGAACCTTTAGCTATAACACCTCCCTGAAAAAGGAAAATAAACATTGCAATACTTTTATTAAGGGAAATGTAAGATTTTTATATTTACCATTGAATGTCCAATAAGCACAATGTTCTTCACATTAGTTTTATATAAACTTAATATTTTTTGTATACAATATGAAACATATACTGTTTCATCCATTAGTACACCTTAAATGAATAAGTAAATATTATTTATCTATTTAATCTATTAAAAAAGATACAAATATTTAGAAAACTCTCAAATGATAGATATCCTTTTATGTAAAATTTACTACCTAATAAATTTTGTTTTTCATTCATACCTCCATATAAAGCAGAATAATCTTTGCCTAATGAAACAGTAAAATAATCAAAATGAAATGGAGTCCTCTCTTTTAAGCTCTTCCTTAAACTCACAGAAGCAAGAGACCTTACTAAAAAACAAAATAGAGATATTATAATAATTTAATCTAAGGTATAAAAACATTTTTAAAAAATTTTAAGAACCTTGTTCATGAGATCCAACATTGCCTGGTATAAAAAGTACTGGTATTCCTGAGAAATACATCCTTCTCAATTTTTCAGTAATAAAACCTTCTCCATATGCGTACAATCCATATCTTGGATAGCGTTCTTCTATTTCATTATCGAGAGAGATTCTCTGATTTTCATAATAAATAATTTGTATAAATTTATTACATATTATTACAATCTTACTTTTTAAATTATTCTTGCAAAGTGTTAGTCCAATTAATAATAATTTACAAAAATTAATAGATGAAATTGTCATCAAAATCAGCAAATTAATTTTTATATTTGATTTAATAGAAAATAAATATTAATAACAATAAAAAAGGTAAAAATAAAATAGCAAGTATTTATTAATTTTTTTAAATTAAATAGTTTCATATTATATTTACATACCACATACTGTGGATATTCAAACATGTATGTCATATCACAAGTATTTTCTTCAAAATCCGTAACATAACGAGCAATTCCAAGTATATAAAATAAAAGGAATAACATCAAAAATAAAAAAAGTATAGTATAAAGTATTATAGATTTAGATCGAATCATTTTTTTAATAGCAACAAGGCAACAAGTTAAGTTTTAAATCATCTCAGTGAAAGTATATTATACTTGTGGTTATCCTGACGTAAAAATTGAAATAACGTCAAATACTAGCTGTTACATTTAATATAATGTACTTATATTACATTATGACAAAAAAGAATATTGTAAAATTAAAAGAAAAATATAGCTTGTGAAAATAAATATATTTGATTTGCAAGGTTATGATATAAGGGTAAAATTGAAGTTAGTGTACATGAACTATCACTGCGCAATCTCGTGGTACAAATATTTATTTTCAAAAAAGTAAAGCTTCAAGCTCTAAAATTAACTAACTTTTTCTAAGATTAATATAAATTTATAAATAATGCTTCAAAGTAAGTTAATAAAATTTTCTCATAAATTATTTAATTGAATGTCGCCTATATTCTCAACATACGCATTGCAAAAATGAAGAAAGAATTTACTTGTGAGAATGTCAAAGTGAATGCCAAATGAACTTTAAAGTGAAAGGCTTAGTATTCTTTGTGCAATATTACTATTAAAAAAATGCAGTTATCTATGCCTACCATTATACAATTTGTATTTCATACAATTTCACTATTTTGTTTATATCTTTTATCAATAAAAGTGGGTATAAAAAAATCAAATGCATTATTATAAACAAGTTATATTTATTTTAAAAAATGAGATTATGGGTATATAAAATTTATTGCGCGTTTTAATACATGTATATAGTTTTACAAAAGTTAGAATAAAATAACAATGGATTACAGGTTACAATTTCATACAATTTTGTGCTTCTTTAACTTCATATGTTCAGCAAAATTCTACTTATAAATATAAATCTAATTTAAAGTATTTGTTTTTTAACAGAAACTAAAGTTCTTATTTTGCAATTTCATAAGTAATTGGTAATATTTACTTAAAATATATTTCAAATATGTTATAGTTTGTAAAAGTAGCATTTTGAGCAATTCTGTAGAAAATACCTAACCGATTGTTATAATAAATTTTCAAGTTTTGTTTCTTTAATAAATTAGTTTCAAG